CCCATGTCCAGGACAGCAGTGGAGCACTCCGCCCTCTCTCCAAACTACTTTTGCCTGATGGAGTCCAGAGCAGCACTTGTCTCTTTGCTGCTCTTACTTAACTGAAGTGAGAGGCGAGATTAAACGACATGGGTCATGTGGAGGCGAGAGTTCTCACTACTCGTTCATTAGGGGTTAGTCGCACTACGAACAAGGTTTCAGAAATCCTTTGCCAGGCTGACAGTGCACTTCTTTTGCTTCCCCACAAACCTCTAACTTCTCTTCTCTTTTTTCTGGACCGACCATACAACTTTCCATTTCACAGTAATCATAAATTGAGAACCTAAACTATTTTATTATGAAACCCAGATGTGGGCTTAATGACTGTTCTAATGTTTAAGTACTCTGTTGCCCTTCCATCTGGCACTCCCCGATTTTCATTTATAAAAAATTGGAAGGTGGCAGATATCTGAGCAAAAGAAGTCTTCTTTGTTTAGGTAGATAGGTTTGTCAGTGGAAACCCGCAGGGGTTTTTTTTATTTGTTTTGTTTTTTGTTTTTTTGTTTTTTTTAACCTGTAGGATTTTAAAATATTTTTGCTTGGTATGGATAGACTATCATTATAGGCACTTGTAACTGATCTAGAATTTTGACTTGCATTATTTGTAATTATCATCATCATAACTATTTATGAACACTGCAGGGTTTTTTCTATTAATATTCATGTACTGAACCAGAGTAATCTTTTCACAGTGTGTTCCAGTCAGTTCTCTGCTAAGGCCCGTTTTTTTTAAAGCCCATTTTTAAATGTCTCTTTTAAAAAAGTTTCTCTGCAGCTTTTCATTTTATTACTGACCCACTTGACATTTGGAAGCTACCTGCACTGGCAGAAAGTCCCCACTGTTTAAGAGAATTGTAAATGGAGAATCTGGTTTTGGAAGAGTTAGCTGGAACCTCTTTACTTATTTTTATAGTTGTGTGGGTGAGCTTTTGACATAATGAAGAGTAGCCAGTCAGGTCCCTTGATTTAGATGGTAAAATATATGGACCTTGTTATTTAGTGAGTAAAACCCTTAGCCATCAAGTTCTCCTTTGGTCGAGTTCACCCTCACAGTCAGTGACCTTCTGAGCCTCTTAGTATTTTGTTGTTGTTTAAAAATGCTATCACCCACCAACCTTTACCATCATCTTCTGGAGAGGAAAAAATGCATTTTTGTATGTCCCTCCTAAAGCATGGTGTTGGGTACGGCAGGAATGCTTAAGAAATGGAGGCAGATACAATTTCAGTTCTACATTGACACAGAAATATAGTTAACTCTTGGTCTACAAAAGAGAGAGGGCTTTGACGTGGGATGTTCCAAGCAGAATAGTTCTCTGCGTGGCTCTGTTTCAGGATTTGTTGTCATTTTGAAATGAAGGTGTTTTTCTTTATCATCTGCTGAGAGATTGAACCAGAAGCACGTTAACTTTTTCTTACCTTTGTTCATTCTTGCCTTTCGATGTGAAAGACAAATTTTTATTAATCTGAAAATCCTTTTGAAATGTTCTTGTAGTAGTATTAATAAAACTTACGAGATTCATTTTTGTTTTTCCCTTATAAAATTTCACCTAGATTTTGAAAGATAAATGTTCGCTTTGTTTAGAGTCACAGACCACCTTATTGTTTGCTAATGTGCTGTGTTTTCACAAGGCACCTAGAATGTCATTAGTGACATGGTCTAGACTAGGATTTCTCTACATTATTCCCTAAAATACTGCTAGGCTCAGAGAAGGTGAGCGAACAGCAATCGCAGGGTGCAGGGTTCTGATCAGAAAGAGGGCTAATGATGACATCATTGGACTCTCAAGTTTTATATTAAAGATTCATGTAAAATATAAATTTTGATCCATACTGTATTTGTACTTTCATTCAACCTGTGTTCTCATGTGTCAGACCTGTGCTGGGTACAGGGAGAAAATGGAAGGCAGATTTACAAGGCCCTTGCTGAGGAGGAACTTACATTTTAGAAGGAAGGTAAATATGAAGGGCTGAGAGAGAATAAGATGCAACATATAGGATGGTAAGGGAACGCCTCCCTGAGAAATTGACATTTAAATTGTGACTTTCACATTTAAGCTGTGAAGAGTTGGGGAGGGCCAGTGTCATTCAAAGCAGTGGCTATTAAAGGCTTACTATACTTTAATATAAAAAGAACATTTCAGATTTCTTTGTAGTTAATTTACTTCACTCTCTCCCCCTCCCACCCTACCTACCCAAAAGAGGAGTGAAATTGACCCTTGAATTGTTTCCTGGGGAAAGTCCCCATCCATGTCTTACCTATTAGCAGATCCTCTCAGTTTTACCTCCAGAATATATCCTGAATTTATTCAGTCTTTTCCATCTCCACTGGATGAGTCCAGATTGCTATGACTTTACCCAGACTGTTGAAATAGCAATTTTTCTGGTTTTCCTGCCTCTGCTCTTGTCCTCTTCCTGGCTTTTGTCTACACAGCAGCAAGAGGGTTCTTCTAAAGTATAAATC